ACCGGTATACTGCCTAGCACTAGTTTTTTTTTGATACCGTAAATAAACAGCCACACCTCTGACATGGCTCCCTACTTAAGTTATTCCTGGCTGTGCAGCATTAATATCACTATTATGATGGAACTGATACCACTCTACCAAACATTTCACCTACCAAAACAGAAACACAAAGCTAAGAAAATGAAAAATCAATACTGGACATTAATATTGGCCTCGTTTTACATATCGAGCTAATACGGAAATTCTAAAAAATGACCAATATCGGCCGATACCGATGTCAATGCCGATATATCGTGCATCCCTAGATCCATCCAATTAGCCAAATGTGTGAAGGGCTTCATTTCATTGGTGAAATACTTCAAGCCTCTGTCTGAGTGACAAAACACATCAATGCAAAATTTTGAGCCAGTCATTTATTGCAGTTTATGCAGGTTCTTGCACTATGTATATTGCACAGGCTGTTATCGGAATAATGATAAATTTTCGATATATTGTACAGCCCCCATGTGTATTATTTTATCTCTAATTTTTAGAACTGAAATAAAGACTTTAAAACTATATCATTTTGCTCTTTCATTTTAAAGTAAATAAGTAAATAAATATGTAAAATGTAGATAAACAGCATTAGGTTTCATTGGTGTGAGGCCCTTGGCCCTTATTACAACAGTGTTTAGTGCTGAACACAAACTACCTTAATCAATATTGAATTGCTAACAATTGGAGAACCTGCACTAAAAAAGAACATGTGTGTCATGTATTTCTACCATTTACGCATATCAGCTCACAGATCGTGTTCCTGAAAAAATAAACCCATACATCTCCATTTCTATGTGGAACTGAGCCGTTTCATRAAGGAGGAAGTATGCAAAGAGGAAGGAGCGTTCACCTGAAAGGGAAACAAAGGTTTTATCTGTGTGCGCAGCATTTGAGGGAGGTGAAGAGAAGCTGTAATACCGGGCGAGATAAGAATGATAAATAAGAACGGTGTGGACTGAGTGGGTGATATATGGGTCGGGTAAAAGCAGCTTAAAAGGCAAAAGAGGTACGGGGAGCACGAAAAAGAGGATGGAAAAATGAGGGCATCTCCAACTTCTACCACACACACACACACACATAGCTTCGACACATCTCTCCTTCAATCAAAACTGAGCCTATCTATCCATATGACCGCTGTGCTTTTTGAATAATGGACCCAATATGAAGCAAGTCACTGAGATGATTTGCTTGTCTGATGGGGGTCATGGGGTTCCTGCCCCGAGAGCAGCGCWGGGAATCAACAGCAGTCGTATAAAGAATCACAAGACAGAGTCATTTACATTTTACTCGCAGCTAAATTGGAAACGGCTCCCGCCTGCTCCTGTCTGGACCGTCCCCGTTCATATCAGATACGCTTTTAATTTTTTATACAGCAGTTATGGAGAACTAGACCTCTGCGGCTTTGTCTAATTTCCACCAAGACTTTGGGGCTCGAAAAATCTTATGCTTCTTTCATGATCTAAAAATGAAAGAAGCTTTTAGACTATTCTCTTATGACTTCAGGGACGACAAATGTTATGAAAGTACAGTCATAAAACTCCATCTCACCCCTCTTCTGTAGTTCATGATTATCCCAAGCTGTTATTTCAGAATAATAAAAAATGAATAATGTAGATGACGAGGGCAAAGTTATAGTCAAAGAAAAATGTTCATTGCTTTTTTGCTCATATTCTCATCACTGAGGCAGCATCAATGGAAGAAATGTTTGCAAAAAACAACCAGAGCAGCTGTAGGGTTAGACAACAGGTGTTTCTTTTATTTATTATTCAACTTTTTACCTGTTCCAGAAGTTTTCTGTATCTCTGGGTGGCTTGCTGTATCAGGTCTCTCACAGTCCACCCCTCTTTGCAAGGCACCACCACACCTGTTTGTCCAAAAGTTACTGTCACCTTCATTATGGCACAATCCAGGCCCTCCGGATAGAGCTGAACTATTGTAAACAGTGCAGAAAAGATGGGATTTGTGCTAAAAATATATATATTTAAATTTAAAAAAATGGGTGCAGATTTGGTGCTAAAGTTTGCACAACTCAGCCCAGCTTCTTCAGAATGCTCAGAGCTCCACAGGTCATGGCTACAGTCAGAACATCCTGCAGGTTTTTATCCCCCCGCGGCTGTCGCCTCTCCTCTCCTCACCTCCTGAAGCTGCGGAGGTGATGCTGGTCACGCACAACACGCAAAGTCACCTGGAAGWGCTGACTTCTCATGATGTAGTTGTCACACAAAGAGAGGTGTGTCTTATGTGTTTTTTTTTTCCCTCTTTTGTGATCAGAATGAAGAGGCTAACCGATTAGCTCGATACTCTCAACCCTGAGGCAAGCTGCTGTCAAAACTTTCACTTCCAGACAACTCAGTGGAACAAACACGCCGTTTCTCCCCGCCACGACGCAACAGTTTTTKGGTTTTGCTCATAGAAGAAAGTCGCGCAACGAGCGTTGAAAGCCGCTGCGGGCTAAGCTAACGTTAGCCACATTAGCTGAAGTTTGGAGAGAGGGGTGCAGCCGCTCGGGCATCGTTTCCAAAAACTTCTGGCTTTGTTTTCCAGTCGATTCGCATCTGCTTCACCGACAGACGCAGCGTGGACGCGTCTGGGTTGGGTTCAGCGACAAACTGGGAATAAAACGAAACAAAAGAGGAGGGGAAAGTAAACCACTTGGAGTTTGGCGAAGTTTTTTTTTTTTTTTTTTGTAGGAATTCCTGCACAGCCGCGTCCCGTTCCTGACCAGTTCCTGACCAGCTCCTGCGCCGCTTGTTGCTGTCACTTTCTTAAAGGGGAAGCGCTCCAATTGAAAACTCAAACATAACTCTTACGAGCTCAACTTTGCGAAGTATATGTCTCTGTGAAGCAGTAATATCTGCACTAAGCTCAGGGTTTGCGCGTAAATTACGCACCGTATCACAACAATGCGTACGTTTTGGGTCTGCGCGTAAATTACGCGCCGTATCATAATGTATCATTGTGCACGTTTGCACTTGGATATTAGAAAGTATGTTCCCAACTCAAACAGGTGTGAATCAGGCAGCAGCAGCAGCAGCAGAGGTGTAATTTGCAGGGGGGGTTAGGGGGTTTTGACCCCCACAATAATTTGATTTAATCAAAATACCCACCCACCAAAAAAATCTACATAATTTGCTCAAACACAATAGAAATTACCTGATGCAATTCTCTTGTTGTCTTTAGGTAACTTTAACTTGATTTTAAAATTAATGACGTCATAAACGTACATTTAAGCCCTTGACCAGCAGATGCTTAACTTGATGATTGTTTTTTTATCCAGTTGGTTTGGTAAAAACTGTTCTGAAATATTTTTTGAATCAGATTTAAAAGAAAGAGGAAACAATATAAAAAATGTAAAGTTTATCGTGTCCACAAAATTTTGGTTCCGTTTTGACCAGAACTGGTTGATGACCTCGGCTTGCAGGGAAAGATGAAGACTTGTCTGTGCAAAATAAAAGTTTTTTTTTCTAGGCATTGTATTGTTTTTATTTCCTTATTTTATCTCGCCTGTGTTTTTTTTGATTAAATTCTGTATTTCATGAGCCGTGTGTAAAAGTTAATTCTGTAAAACACTTTGACCATCTGCGGTGCATCATAACGCTTTACAAGTTGGACTGGATTGAGAATAAAATCAAGAGAAGCAATGGGAGTACACAAAGTTTTTGAAACATACTAACTTAAATGTTGCAAAGTTGCAAATCACTTTGCTCTGTGTCGACCTTCAAACTAAATGTTCTCTATCGTGACTTTTTTTTCTCTTTCTTATGACTTTGACACATTAAAAGTGTTAGTCTGTTGTTATCAGAGTGTAGGAATGCTTACAAAGTGTAGCAGTTCACATGTAATATTATAGTGATCAGGTCCCTGATGTGGATAAATCCAGTCTTCATTCTAAGATCTAACTCTTGTGCTGCTTTTCCAGACTCCAAAAGCTCACATTCACCTAAAAACTGTTGATTTCATGTGAAAAATACATGAAAACCTTTGTTGGACTGGCTGCCAGAGCAGAGAACATTTTTTTTGCTAAAATGCAGTGGTGAAAAGTAATAGTACATTTACTTGAGTACTGTACTTAAGTACATGTTTGAGTATTTTTACTTTAATTGCGAATGAAAAGAATTTAAACCAAGTAATTATTTTTTGGGGGACTTTCACTAATTTGTAGCAGAGTGGTTCTACGTGTCAATGCATCAGGTGGTTACTGAGAGTTACAACTTCTGTAAAATCACTCTGAAAACAATACTGCAGTGTACTGATATTAGAAAATGTAATTTGTACTTTTGAATACTTAAGTATTTTCAAAAGTAAGTGCTTTTGCAAATACTTAAGTATTTAAAAAATCTACTCAAGTACAGTAACATGAGTAGATTTTTTAGAGTAACTCTTACTTGTAGTTGAGTAAGATCTGACCCTGAGTATCAATATTTTTACTCAAGTAGAGTTGAGTACTTTGTCCAACACTGCTAAAATGCAAACCAAATTGTTTTAGTTTCACTGTAAGTGCAAATTTTTGAAGATAAAGCGTCTCATTTAAAATGTGATTATTTCCATTTATACCTGTAAAATAATGCATAAAATCTATGCTTCTCTTACAATTACAAATCAAAATGTTGGTTATAAGGACCCATAGAATCACTTTTTCTTTTGCTATTTGAAGTATTTCTCAGTCTTCAGTTTAATTTATTATTGTGTAGCAATATACTTGTTGCTTTGTGTTTTTCAGTAATGTCAGCTCCAATTTACTGCAAACAAAAATAGTAAAAACACCCACTCTGCTTTCATTATTAGTCTGTAGCCAGAAATAATGAGTAGAACAAATGTGTTATATATATA